AAGAAATGGAAATCATGGGAGAAAGAGACCAAAACAATTGAGTACCAATATGCCAACGGTATGTACATACATAGTTACATATGACACATAAATCTTATCATCATAGAGTTTCTTTTTGTAGTATTAGACACATTAAAATAAAGAAGCATTTGTATTATAGAAAATGAATACTTATCGGATCAAATATTTTCGTCGGTGTTGACTTTGGCAATGTTAACATCATGATCGCGTATCAACATGATCTATATATCTTAAGATCGTTTATTACATTGATTAGTTTTTTTTTTTAGTGACTGAGATAATCGCACACATAAGTTATTTATCTAATTACATAACGCCTTTTGTTTGACTTATGAATAAACAATTTAACGCAAGAAAGTACCATCACTTTTTTTATTAACTATATATGTTATGTCTCTGATTTAATTTATTTAATTCAACTGGTTATTTGAATATTGTAGATCCAGAGAGATTTAGATTTGCAAGAGACACATCATTTGGACGTAGACATTTGAATGTATGGAGCAAGACTACCTTTACCCTGTGGATTGTAAGTTTTCATTTTCTTTATTTTTCTAAAAAATCTACTTTATCTTACATGTAATTTGGTTTATCATTACACCAAAACTTAATTATGGATAAATGGGGACATGCAGACATGTTTCTTTAGGCAGTTCTTTGGATCAGTGACAAAAGTGGATTATCTTACACTAAGACATGGTTTTATAACGGTAAGTAAAAAATATTTACTTAATATTATATTATTATTCAATTCCAATAACCGAGTTTTTTTATTAAAGAAACAAATCGTTGTGTGAACAGGCGCATTTGCCAGCAGGGAGTGGAGCTCGTTTCGATTTCCAAAAATACATTCAAAGATCTTTGGAAGAAGATTTCCAAGTTGTTGTCGGTATAAGGTCAGTCCAAAGTTTTAAATTAATTTAATCAAATTCATTAATATATACCTCCATTTATCTTATTTTCCATAACAATAATAAATATCTGATTCAATTGTGTGAATGGAAATGCAGTCCAGTGATATGGTGCATTGCTGTCTTGTTCATATTGACTAATACACATGGTTTGTCCTAATCCTTAAACATTTCATTTTTAAGTAATTAATTAAGCAAAATTATATAAACTTACAATTTTTCTTTTTTTCAAATTAAAATAGGATGGGCTTCCTATCTATGGCTCCCCTTCCTCCCATTGCTTGTAAGTAAAAATAAACAAATTAACTTTTTAAAATTTCAATTTATTATGAAGTTGTGAATAAAAATTAATTATGTGTTTGGTGTGTTTAATGAATTGAAGGTGATATTAGTAGTAGGAGCAAAACTACAAATGATAATATCGAAATTAGGATTAAGGATTCAAGATAAAGGAGATGTGGTTAAAGGAGCTCCTGTGGTTGAACCGGGTGATGATCTATTTTGGTTTGGTCGACCTCGGTTTATTCTCTTTCTCATTCACTTGGTTCTTTTCACGGTA